TCGTCGGCGACGTAGAAAGTTCGCACGGCGCCACAGCGAGAGCGATCCGACACGCACGATCCCCGCAGAGGGTTCGTCGGCCAGCGTGCAAATTCGCACGGCGCCACAGCGAGAGCGCTCCGACACGCACGATCCCCGCAGAGGGTTCGTCGGGCAGCGTGCAAATTCGCACGGCGCCACAGCGAGAGCGCTCCGACACGCACGATCCTCGCAGAGGGTTCGTCGGCGACGTAGAAAATTCGCACGGCGCCACAGCGAGAGCGCTCCGAAACGCACGATCCCCGCAGAGGGTTCATCCCCCCAACGCCCGCCAGATTTGCGCCCGGCTAAGAAAGAAGATAGAATTAAAGGCTGCGAGCTTCAGCTGGGCAAGCTAGGCTGTGTAAGTCAGGCTGCGTAAGTCGGGCTGCGTAAGTCGGGCTGCGAAAGTCAGGCTGCGTAGGTCGGGCTGCGTCAGTCAGGCTGCGTAAGTCAGGCTGCATAAGTCAGACTGCGTAAGTCAGGCTCGTAAGTCAGGCTGCGTAAGTCAGGCTGTGTAAGTCAGGCTGCGTAAGTCAGGCTGCGTAAGTCAGGCTGCGTGAGTCAGGCTGCGTAAGTCAAGCTGCGTGAGTCAGGCTGCGTAGGTCAGGCTGCGTAAGTGAGCTTGAGTAAGTCCCGCTGCGTAAGCTAGGCTGCTTAAGTCAGGCTGTGTAGTCGGCAACCGTTTTTTCCAAAACCCTTCGCGATGCTTTCGGGGGAAAAATAATCGAACAATGGATAGACGAAGAAGTTATATTAAAGAACATTGTTGAGAAATATATATATATATATATATATCTATATCTATATATATATATAATTGAATAATAATTAGAAGCCATTGGTTTATATATATATACATATATTAAAAAATAAAAATAAAGATTCAAAATTGGAAGGATAGGAACTGATGGCAAAGAACACGGGTATTCGAAAACCGGATAAATAGAGGATTCATGGCAGAGATCGAGCAAAGAGTCAACAAGCATGCAAGCCTATCGAATAGATTGAATCTTGAAAATATCCTCACCGTTTAATATATATTTTGGGTTTTATTTGGGATATTTTCTGCGGCTCTACTCCTTGCGACCAATTATCTTCCTAGTTATGTTTGATGAACATCAAACCAATTAGTAAAAAAGAAAAGAAAACAACAAATAACAACATATATTGAATATATATATATATATATTTTGGAGAAGTCAAACATATATAAACCTGTAGATTGGTTATTCTTTTTTTTTGTCATAGATTATTTAAATACAAGAACATAGCTATTTAAATATATATAAATCAGATATACTTTAAACCAGAATCATATTATTATATATTATATAATTTAAACAATACTATATCGAATATGAAACTCAATCCCAAATATATAATATTGTTCATTTAAATAAACAAACATATATATATATATAATCCGAATACATCAAATATATATAGTCCGAATAAATCAAACATTTATAAAACACACATATTCAATAAAATCTATAAATATATATTAAATATTTATCTTCGATCATCTTAACCAAATTATTTTGCGTCGCTATCATCCATCATCAACGATAATTATAGATAAATCGAATCTCAAATATATATTCATCCTAACATCAATTAACAATATAATATTCAATAAAACTAATCTAAAAGAAAAAAACATGTTATATATTAAATCATGTTATACTATATTTATCCAATATAATCAATCAAAACAAAATAAGATAATATTAATTATATGTCTTTTTCTCTATATATTAGTTATATATATATATACATATATTAGTTTTTTGTTTGTTTTGCTTTATAATTGATTACAATATCATTTTAAAATAACATTTTATTTATAAATTCCTCAAATTCTAAACAATCATCAAATTCTCAATTCCTCAAAATATCAATAATCCTCAATTTCTTATCAAACCTCATTTTTTCCTCCGAAAATTCTTAATATTCATAAACCTCAAAATCTTCGCCTGAAATTCTTACAGCTCCTCAAATTCTTTAAAACCCTCAAAACTAAAGAACCATAAAATACATACTCCTACCCATCCTTTTCCCGGCTTCTCTTCCAAACATCTTTCCCGTCTCCCTATTCCATCCTTTTCCCGAGAAAAAAAAAACAAAAACACAAGAAGGCCAAGAAACAACCAAACATAAAAATAACAAAAGGTCGAACATATACAAGCCCTACAACCCAAAATGGCTATCGTAAAATCGTAATTAATTAAGTCAAACATATATATTAAACATATACAAAATACAAAAAAAAACACCGACTATTCTGCAACACTTTTAAATCAACAAATCAAAGCGGATACTAATAGGCCTATTTTTTTTATCCAACGCTTAGACTATGTATTCCTTATAAAACAAATATCCAAATCGAAATAATCTATAAGACTAAACAATAAAATGTTAGACAAACATATTTATCCATTCATCATTCAACATCTATTCAAAAAGCACATTTTAAACCTTCCATGTCTAGAACGCAACATATAAGAACCACAAACATATTCAAAGTATAACTAAATCATATCAACATATAGCATGCTAATGACCGTAGAGAACGGACGCACCATTCAAATGAGCTGAAGCTGTAGGCGCCGCCTCCCTTTTTCAAATCTCGAGCTGGGTCCAAAGGTCAATTGGGGCAATTGGGGGGTTCGCGAGCCAGTCAAGGGCCGCATCAAGAAAGGGCGCGGCTTTGGGGTTTTGGGAAGCGCGCCGGACACAAAGGCTCTCAAGTGCGGCTCAAGAAGCGAGGCTGCAATGCAAATAGTTCTCAACGTTCTCAACTCTTGCATCTCTGGTCTGGAAGCGGCCTATTGCTGCCTAAGCGCAAACTTAATGCTCTGAGGCTCTGAGGCTCGGTTTGTTCCGCCGAAGCCTTGCGCGGCACCGGAGTCCCCTCAAGAGCTCATTGGCACCTCGTCGAGGGCGACATGGGCATACGGTGGCAGGAGGCAATCAGCAGTGACACGCCAGGACCATGGCAGGCATTTTTGGTCAACTCTTTCCACTCGTATACTGGGCCACTTTGGCAATGTGCCGAATTTTTCGCGGGAGACTTTTCAACCAAACTGGTCTTGATTTTAGGCGCCAAATTCCTCTCATCTCATTTTGGGGGCCTGGGCGAGCACAGAGAGGGCACCAGCACCTTGCAAAGCCTGGTGCCAAGCATGTCTGGTGGCGCGCGAGGCCTGACTCTGAGCATTGGGAAGCGGCATGCCAGCTGCAAGCTCCTTCTTGAGCTGTGGGTCATGGGTGTTTGCCAGGCCCTCTCAACATTTCCATGGGGGCGTGCAAGCGATTAACATGTCGACGGGGGAACCGGGCGGCCTTACCGGCGGAAGGCATAGGCTTGGCGAAGAGCTTCGCCCCCCCCACGGGGAAACTGGCCACCTGCCTCACATTGTTTTGTGTGAGTAGTATATGGCAGTTTGCTTTATTTGAGAACGCCGCTTTATGCATGCACTCGCCTCATACCTTCGCACCTTGCCTTCACAGCCCCTGGCACCTGAATGATCTCAGATTCCTCTGTACGAGCGATGGCGCTGGCCGAGAGTGACGGCAGATTTGTGTGCGCGCCAACGAGATACACCGGACTCGCGTGCGCCGGGCCATGAGCTGAGGGAGTGGCGGCGCTATGAGGTGCCACAACTCCCAGGCATCTGCTCTGCCATGCTTCAAATGGTCAAACCTAATTTTGGGCGTTGGAACCACTCTACACGATTCATTGTTGATTGACTGCCCCCTTGCTGTGTGCCTGCGAACCGTGCGGTCGGAGCTCTGGGCCGCCTGCCGGCGAGGCGCCGGGCTCTCGTCACAGTCGGGGTCTCATCACGCCGTCCAAGGCGTCGGGGATCCTCGCCTTGCGGCGCGCGAAGCCGTAAAGCCAACAAAGCGCACATGACATTGGCCGCAGCAGGGCCTTTTGACACCCGGCTTTTGCAAGCCGGGGTGTGGCATGCAAAGCCTGGGGGCAATCAGGAGCCCTGAGAGGCACGCGGCGAAGGCGAACCAGGCTGTCAACCACCAGGGTGTGACCCTTCAGGTGCCGAGCCGCGATCGAGCAAAGGCAAAGCCACTCATTCAGGCAAGGCCGGCGGCTGCTTTTAAGTCAAAGCCTACAATTGCATTGCAAAGCACTGAAGGGCTGCCGGCAAAAGAGGAGCCATTGGCAAAACCCCACACGGCCCAATGCTCGTTGGCCGTTGAGGCGTGTCAGCTTTGTGGCTTTCGCAATCCTATGCCTGAAGCTCTCATTCTTCTGCTGCCTGGTCTTCTCACCTCACATCTTGCTCCCGATGGCTCAATGAAACGATGCTGCAGCAAGGCACCCAAAAGGCAGCAGGCTGCACACCTACTTCAGTCGCACCCTCATCTTACAGCAAGTCAGCGCCGGCCAGGAGCCCAGGGCCCTTGCACTCGCAGGTGTAGGCCCGGCTCGCCTGGCTTCCCCGTTGGCGCCCTTGGCTCAAGCAAAGCGATTTCCGTGAATTCTCGGTGTGGCGCTGGGAGCAGCACTTTTGTTGCGTCCGTGGCTCTGCGCTGAACGGTGTTGAGTGACATCGGATGCGGTATCCGCACAATCCCCAGCACGGCAAATCTCCGGCTCTCGGAGGGCCTCCCGCACTGGCAACGCCCCTTGGCTGCACGGCCTGCACCCCTGTGACACGAGCGCATGCGCACGGACAGCCGCCTTGGCGCCTCAAGTTGGAAAGGCGCTGACAGCGAAAATGGCGCCAGGGCCCAAACGTTGCAAAAGCCGGGGCTCAAAGTAAGGCATCGCAGGGGTCGACACACGCCTCTGGCAGGATCACTGCAGGTTGAAATCAGCAGCAAAAACAGAATGGTTTGATGCTGCCTGACCAGCGTACATGCTCCTGCTGTTTAGGTCATGCCATACTCTTTAGGCTTTGTTCAGTGAGCCTGTGCTGCTTTCGTCCCGCTTGGCAACATGCTGGAGGATCGCATGCGTGGAAGATCTGGCCAAAGGTCGCCAACACTGAGGCTGCCAGCAGTGCTGTCTCTGCACTCACCGGAATGCAGCTTGGCAGCACCGAAGGAGCACGCGCAGGCTGCGACAGTTTCACCAATGCAGCCACTTTGCCTACAGTCGGCCTGTCGCTTTCAAGCGCCAGCCACGTGCCTGGCTTGCCCTTGGCTTCGAATGAAGCCCGGAGCGTGTCACTTCAGCCGAGCTGCACGAACTCTGACGGAAGCCCTCGGGGCAGAGGCCACGTATGCCACACCATGGCCAATAGACTTCTCAGGTGCAGCTGCTCCTAATGCATGGGCCCCTTCAAGTGAACGTCGAGTCTTCTCAAAATTACTTTGGGGAGTGGCTTTCCTTTAAACCATTCAGAAGGCCGATGGACCCAGCACAGCAAGCACACTGATGCAGCCTGACCTGGGAAGAACTGGGTACGGCACTTTCATGTGCATGTCAACATGCGACAGCACACAGAGCAGCGAGCTCTTGGGCCAGGATTTGCACACACGCTGCCTGAGAAAAGGGATCATTCAGGATCCTTTGTTGGCGTGCTCATTTTACCACTTCGTGTGGCGTGAAGGCAACGAGATTCCGTGCTAACAGCCCCCCTGGCTTTGAGGCAAAGTGCCGAACGGTGGCACGCTGGCGAAGGGCAAAAGGCCCTATGCGCCTGGCGCTTTCACCAAGGCCTGCAGTTCACAGTACTGGGTGGGCCTTAAATGCAGAAGCTAATCACTCAAACGCCATGCTTTTGGTCGTCCGTGTCTCCGAGCCCCCGACAAGCTGGTTCCACGATGTGCCGTGGCACCTAGCACCTGGGCGCTTTGCCATGTTGGCATACCACGCAGGTAAATGGGGCGCTTGCAGGTGACACGCATTTCAACCTGTGGCTCTCTCACCCACCGAAAGGTCAAACATCTCCGACACCAGAGCGGCATCGCTCCCGAAGAAACCTCCCGAAACGAGCAACACATGTGACATGCAATCGGATTCGCATGGGCAAATCAAAGGGCCCTGCAAGTCGCGGCCTTTTGCCTCACAGACTTGACTTTCGACAGCTGGGCGAAGCTATTGCCCAATTCGTCCAGCCGCACGCATTCCGCAAGATGGACCAGCCCGTGTCACGCATGCCTCAAGCCATGAATCGGCGTGAGCGGAGAGCTATCATAGCTGTTGGCTTCAAACCCGGCCCTACAGGAATCAAGCCTTCCCAGACCGGATCTGCAAGGCCCTTGTCTGACATGCGGTCAATGGAAGTGAGGGCACCACAGGAATCAAGCCTTCCTGGGCCGAATCTGCAAGGCCCTTGCCTGACACGAGGGCAATGGCGGAAGTGATGGGTGCAGGCAGGCAGCGTTGCTGGCTGAAGCATTGCCAAGCCGCATGGAGTGCAAAGCTCTTGGCTGACCCTGTGGGCTGGTGCAGAACGCACTTCACGCAGAGTTGCGGGAGGTGAGGGCTCAGCATAGCGCTTACACAAACCAGTCGGTGCTTGAAGTGCTGAGTGCCGCCTGATGAGCAACTGCCGCCAGGGTCTCTGGACCAAGCCCGGTGCATCTGCAAAGCATACCTAGCATATCTAATACTGCACGAGCGGATCAAGTGAAATATGCTCGAACAACGGGGTAGGGAAGGCTGAGCCCGAATCCTTTGCCCGAGGGGCAAGGATGGTATGGCGGCGAGAGCTGTGTCGCACGGTGCCGCAACGAAGCTCAGTTCCATGGCCCTCGGCCAACCTGACGCTGGAGTTTGGGCAGTGAGCTTCACACCGCTCTCGCAGGCTGAACAGAGAGCAAAACTCAATGGGATACCTGGGCTCAAGCAGAGTCTCCCTCGCACAGTTGCCAAGTGGCACTTGGAAGTCCCAGCCCGGGCCTTGACTTCATAGGAGAGAAGCGGTAGGCATGCTAGCATGCCAGAGGGCCCAGAGGGCCTCAAGCAATCAGGGCGCCAACGAACAGCGCAGGATATTTTGAGACTTTGAGAGATGGTGCCCAGAGAGATGGGCCTGGTTGGCAACCTGGTTGGTCCCTGTGCGCCCGAGGTTCGTGCTAGGCTGAATACCCCGCTTTCAAGCAAGGACCCAGGCAGGTGGCGTCTGTCATTCCATCAAGGGCGCTGCTTCCGCTTTTAACTCCGTGTCATGCAAACATTTTGTTTGTGTAAATCGAGCACTGAAATCGCCCAAGTCCTACGCTCCCACTTCGCGACGCCTTGGCGTGGAGACGCCTTGCCGCGACGGGCGGCCGCAAGTTTCGGAGTCGACAGTCGAGTGATTCGATGTCGTCCTGCTCCAGGCCGCCCGGGTCCAACAAGGCACAGTCTGACATCAGCCTTTCTGCCGTGACCGCACGCATCGACATTTTGGCCAAAGGGCAATTTCTAACTGTCCAAACGGAATGGCTCGAGATCCTCCAGATTTTCTCCAAACTGAGCAACATAACCAAACCTCTCAGTCCCTTCTGTCGGATGCCCAGGTTCAGTTTGTCAGCTCCGACCTTTCAGCTGCGACCTTTTAGGCTGGGACCTTAAGAGCCCGTTGCCTCACCTTTCTCTCATATATGGCGCTATCCCCGACCTACAAGTACAAGAAGCATATACTGCCGCTGATGGGAATTGGAGGCCCGCCTTCAACTGAGAATTCTTGGCATGGCAACTTTCACAGCCTGGTTGACATTCTGGACGGCTTCAGACTTCTGTTCGGACAAGTCAGTTCTCAAGGCTTTTCGCGCCTTTTCGGTGACCAAAAAGAGTTGGGGAGTTCGGGGGTGGGGCAGTTGGAAGGTTGCCCTGTTCCGTTCCGGATAAATCCCGATTGGAATTTCCCGTAGGTGGGCTCTCTGATAGGCACTGCCCTTCAGGGGAAACCCGTGTGCCCTGCGTTGGGAATCAACCGGCTTTGGGAGTCTCACGGTCACGACAAGCCTTCAAATGGGCGAATTCCACATCACCCTCAACTGCTTCCCGCTTGGTGTTTCTACAGGTGCCATGCTCACTTTGACTGGGATCGAGCACATCCTCGCCGCAAGATCCGAGTCAACAAGTAATCCCGCTACTGACCGTATCGACGGAAACTCAGCCGCAGTCGCTGTGCCAACTGGAACCGACAGGCACGCTACCTTTCCCGAAGACCATGTTAAAATTGTGTGCAAGGCACGGGCTCCCAAGCATGATGTAAGCATCGTTTTGTGAGCTGAGAAGGGGTAGGGCAAGTTGTGAATGTGCGGCAGTGTCGCTGTTCTAACTAGCCTGTTCAATATCCCAGGAGGCCTCATCACAATCCGTAATCCGAGTAGTCCTTGTTCGGGTTGGTTTTCTCCTTGATTCGCAATCCGCGCTGCAAATTGTGGATAGAAACCTTCTGCTTGAGCATCGGCCATCCGTGCAACCCGTAATCGGGAATCCGGAATCTGCAGACTCTAATCCGTAAACTGCACAATCCGCAAACCGCTAATCGTTCGGGATTCGGCTTTGAACAACATTTCAGCAACATAAAGGACCAACCGCAACTACAGACTAAGCTGGCGGCACGCAATGGTCAGGCTCTGAGCTGAGCACTTGCTGGAATGGTCAGTCGCAAAATGTGGCGTGCGCATAGCCAGCGAGAATGTCGGCTTTCTGCATGCGAAGATTGCATGGTGCCCATTCGACGTGTCTGAGCAAACTAAGCCTCTGTCCTCAGGCTCAATGCGTAGCTTCGGACGTGATTTGACCAGCGCGTAGGCGGTAAAAGCCTGGGGAGGTGTTTGCATCACACGCTGGCTGATCACTTCAGGTCAAGGGCATTTTGATTTGCGCGAACCGCGAGGCATATAGGACTGCAATAACTCCTTTCACTGACTCATGTAAACATGTCCGCCCGACGTGCCAGATTGTGCTTGATAAGCGTGATAGCGCTTCAAACGGCCATCACACTGATGAAACTCTCTGATTGCACAGGGCTTTGCACTGTGTGCGCCCACACGGCGCTGCGCCGTTCCGGAAACACGGCCGCACTGTATCTCGATATCCGGCCCAATCCGGTCTAAAACAACATGCTGAAATGGCAAGAGCCTACATGAAGTGTTCCACTTTGCTGATCTCGATGCTTTTCGCTTGCAGCGACGGCGCCTGCACTACATCTGTTTTCAAGCTGTGCTTTGCTGCCCGGCCTGCAATGCAAGACGCTCTCCTGGAGTCATGTGCAACTGTCAGCCTGAAGGTTGTCCCAAAAGCTGCCCAAACAAGCATCTATCATCAGGTGCAATGCATGCCTTGCTCTCTTCAAGCAATGCCATCACAAGCCCTGCAGTCAAACAATAAGCGTGCTGATCACACATGCAGTGAAAGCGGCCCATCATCTCAATTGTACGCAACACTGCTGTGCAGCCCCGGGCAAAATCAACTCCACCTCAAACCCGCAATAACCTGCCTCTATGTATGCTGCATCGGAAATGTGCACAACCTCTCTGGCCTAAGAGCTATTCAAACATGACGGGGCGATTGAGGGCAATTGAGTAGCCTTCAGTGAGCCATGTCAGTGTTTAATGCGACCTGGACTGCCAACATCAAGCGTCATCCTCTGCAATCTGAATTTGCATCACATCCGAAAAGGCAACCGAATTTCATTCAAGGCATGCAAGGGCGGCTTAAGAGCAAGTACTTGCTCGAGAGTGAGTACGCTTGACCTCCCACAGTCGTCCACTCATCTCACATTGGTCTGATCTTGGATGTTGATGAGCAAGCTATAGCCTCCCAGGGGGAGTGCCCACTGCACATGAGACATGGTAGTCCTTGCTGCTGTCCTTGGCCAAAAGCTCAGGCAAGGTTCAGTATACTCAACAGCCTGCATTAAGCCCTTCAAGATGCACGGAAGCACCCAGACTTGCTCTTGTTTCAACTCCAGGTGTGCTCATGTCTGCTCAACAGACTGGCAAGCGCAGCGAGATGGTGCCCTGTGCGTGTTGGTACGTGTTTGCTTCACAAGTGTGGTGACGCTTCAAACTACCGCGGAGCAAGCTTAGCAGCTCTAAGACAGAAATGCTTATTACTCAACAAGCTGCCCTGACTAATTATCTGATTGTACAGGACTTTGCCCTGCTAGGTACCACACGGCGCTGTTCCGGAAACACGGCCGCACTGTATCTCGATATCCGGCCCGATCCGGTCTAAAACAACATGCTGAAATTGCAAGAGTCTGCATGAAGGGTTCAACGTGCTGATAGCGATGCTTTTCGTATGCGGCGAGGGCATTGTCACTACAGCTGTTTTCAAGCTGTGCTTTGCTGCCCGGCCAGCAATGCAAGACGCTTTCTTTGAGTTATGTGCAAATGTCAGCCTGAAGGTTGTCCCAAAAGCTGCCCAAACAAGCATCTATCATCAGGTGCAATGCATGCCTTGCTCTCTTCAAGCAATGCCATCACAAGCCCTGCAGTCAAACAATAAGCGTGCTGATCACACATGCAGTGAAAGCGGCCCATCATCTCAATTGTACGCAACACTGCTGTGCAGCCCCGGGCAAAATCAACTCCACCTCAAACCCGCAATAACCTGCCTCTATGTATGCTGCATCGGAAATGTGCACAACCTCTCTGGCCTAAGAGCTATTCAAACATGACGGGGCGATTGAGGGCAATTGAGTAGCCTTCAGTGAGCCATGTCAGTGTTTAATGCGACCTGGACTGCCAACATCAAGCGTCATCCTCTGCAATCTGAATTTGCATCACATCCGAAAAGGCAACCGAATTTCATTCAAGGCATGCAAGGGCGGCTTAAGAGCAAGTGCTTGCTCGAGAGTGAGTACGCTTGACCTCCCACAGTCGTCCACTCATCTCACATTGGTCTGATCTTGGATGTTGATGAGCAAGCTATAGCCTCCCAGGGGGAGTGCCCACTGCACATGAGACATGGAAGTCCTTGCTGCTGTCCTTGGCCAAAAGCTCAGGCAAGGTTCAATATACTCAACAGCCTGCATTAAGCCCTTCAAGATGCACGGAAGCACCCAGACTTGCTCTTGTTTCAACTCCAGGTGTGCTCATGTCTGCTCAACAGACTGGCAAGCGCAGCGAGATGGTGCCCTGTGCGTGTTGGTACGTGTTTGCTTCACAAGTGTGGTGACGCTTCAAACTACCGCGGAGCAAGCTTAGCAGCTCTAAGACAGAAATGCTTATTACTCAACAAGCTGCCCTGACTAATTATCTGATTGTACAGGACTTTGCCCTGCTAGGTACCACACGGCGCTGTTCCGGAAACACGGCCGCACTGTATTTCGATATCCGGCGCGATCCGGTCTAAGCAACATGCTGAAATTGCAAGAGTCTGCATGAAGGGTTCAACGTGCTGATCGCGATGCTTTTCGTATGCAATGCATTGGTCTTCAAGCTGTGTCGTGCAAATAGCCGGATGCTTTGTTCAACGCGTTGACGCACGCGATAGTGGTGTTGCCTGCTTGGCAAAGGCAAGCTTTCAAGATGGGCAGTGCACTGGCATTAGCTCGATGGCCAAAGTTGGCTCAGTGGTGCACTTCCCGAGCCGAATGATCACACTGCTTCAGGTAGGTAGATGAAGGAAGGGCAGAATGGGGAGAAATGGGCTGGCAGCCTTGGAGGAACAGAGTGAGCATCTGCAACCGAACTTTCATGCCCACTCGCTGCGAGCACGCGCGCACCCCACGGAGTTGTACCCGCAAATGGCAATGGTTCTTTACTCCGCCGACCCTCAGCCAGCTGGTGCCCGCAAAGGAACGGCTGCTTCTCCGGATTTTGGAGCTCACGCATTCGAAAGCAAGCTCGCAGGAAAGGCGACACCCAACACAAAGGAACACATCCCACGTGTGCACCATCTGTTTGAAGCACGCCGAGTGCTGAGTTGTCGCTGGAAAGTTGGCCAACACCTTCATTCAGCTGCTTGGAGGAGGTGTCAAACTTTCTGATGGCCTGGTAGCCTAAGTTACAACGACCGCTATGGCACAAGTCCGGGCAAAACGCATCGCCCAAGAAATGGTCATGCAACCGAATGGGACAGCTATCTGGGGGTGAGCTTTGTTGAGGGACCCTTTGATGCACATCAAGCCATTTTGGCTACTCAAACTCATAGCCATGCCAGGGTGCCGGGTGCAAAAGAACACCCACAGCCCAAAGCTGAGGTTTGGAGCGCGCAGCAATGAGCAGCTTCACATCCAAGTCACTCTCCGCCGTCGACCGGAACCAGATGCAATTTGGCCCAGCGCACGCGCGTCCAATAAGTTGGTGCTCTAGTTTCCTCGCACCGTCAAGGCTCAAGACAAACACGATCCCCGCTGCTTCATTCGCGCATTCTCACTTGGTTGGGCCACATCTCTGGGTGCCATGGAAGGCGTCGTCCATCCAAGATCACAGCAAACCCTGCTTGCACCTCGGATCCAATCGCGAGCACCCCAAAGCCACTGCTGTCATCACATGCTTGGGCGCCAAAGGCCTGATCCGCGAATCGGGGCGCGTCTCTGCTTCAATCCGTCTCTCGCGCCTTGCGCGGCCAACTGCTGTTGAAGAACCTCCTTGAAATCAGGTGTGAAAGCCCAGCAACCCCTCGAAAGCAGCCGCAAAAGCCCAGCAACCTCTCGAAATGAGTTGCCCAAGCCCATACTTCAAACAAGACCTCGATTCAGCCACTCTACCGAGGAGCTGGTCTTGCGCAAGGCATTGCAACGCTTGGCAGGAAGCGGCAGAACTGGAACCTCAAGGCAACTCAAGCCTACAGATGTCACATGGCAAGCAGGGGGAGTGCCATGAAACCAAAACCGGTCCCACCAAAGAGCGCCACGCCTCGCTGCAAAATCCCAGCCCTACCACTTATGTCCGCATGGAGCAGGCTAATGACACGCCTGCCAAGGCACATCCCCCCGCAAAGCAGCGCCGCAGGAATGCGACCAAGCATGCCTGACATGTTCCGCCCAGACCTGGGAACCTCGGTATGCAATCAGGCCGCTGGCTCAAATCGCTTCATCCACGCCAGTGATTTGGCCCACAAAGGCCGAAGGAAGGCCCGTCCAGCTCAGACACCGACAAGAAAACGCTACCAGCCACTTCCAGAAAGAACGCGCACTGCGAGCCGTGCTGAGCACCTGAAACCTGCGAAAGCGGAAAGCCTTCACTCGAGCAGGCCATGTGGGTAAACCCATGGGGCTCAAACAGCGACATTGCGCGCTGCCTCTCATTTTGCCTAGCTCCTAGGACGGGACGTCCTGAGAAAGTTACCATCAAACGTCAACGAGGTGTTGGCGCAGGTTGGCCGCCTGGATATCTTTGAAACTGTGCCGTCCCTGAGAATGGTTGCCCCTGTTCGGCCAGCCGGCTCATGCCAAGCCCGCACATGCCAAGCCTTCAACATGCCACCTGTGGCTTTATGCCACGAGCCGATTTGGCACGACGCAGCGCGTGCCTCGAAGCAGCTTTACTTGGCAAAAGGCTGAAAAACAGGCCCATGGTGCCTCAAATGTGTGGCGATCGACAGTCCGAACCTCAGTGGAAAGAAGTTTTCACAGCCAAGTGGGCCTTGGTGCGAATCAAGCAACAAACTTCAAGCTAACCGCAAGCGAATTGGGTGATGGTCCACTGCGTTGTGCCACAAGCGCGCTGACCATGACATAGGTGTCTCAAAATTAGTGACCCCTCCAAGTGGTTGCTTTCATCCTGCCTTTAAGCCATCCAAACATGGCTCAGAGCCTGCACCGAACAGCACCGACATATACGCGCTGATGCAGCCTAGTCCGCTGTCACTGGCAGGTTACCCCTGAACTTCCAGGCGGTGTGGAGCGACCGCATCGAGTTGGGGAGGAATGCCCATCCAAAGCAACCCCTTTCTTAGGCTCACACATAAAACGTGTCTCAAGATACTGTCATGTTTGCATGTGCTTTTCGGTATCCCAGGCATCAGCTTAAATCAAGGGCTGCATCCACCCACCCAGCCAAGTACGGCCCAAGTATTGCGACCCGTTGTAGCCGCAACAACTGGTTATTGACAAACACAGACCTTTGCAAATCACCTTGGGAATCGACGAGCTGCATGCTTGGTAGCTATGCTTGGGCCGGTCGACGTAGCGAACCCCCCCCCTACACACAAACGCTGCAGCAGGTGGCCAAATTGCTATGGTGGCCACGTGTCGTTGGCAGGGCTCGACTGGCGTCTGGGCAAATGAGCCATTCACTTCCGCATCAGTCTGAGCATGAAACACTGAAGGACCTAGAGATTTGACCCCTGAGCAACGGCAAAAAGCGGGCATCTTGGAACAGAAGGCTTTGGCGCAGGCCCGCCACGCCCCAGCACAAGCCTCGTGAATCGCCTGCGAGGTCGTATCCCTACAAGTGCTGCCCCCATGCCAACCTACGAGGCTTGATGCGCCACATCAACCGCCGCTTCAAGGGGTGCCCGTCATCGATGCCCACGAACCACACTGCTGCAACGCTGCTGATGCGTTAGAGGGCATGCAAGCAGCCACCTTGTCTCACGCCTCAGCTGCCATTTCCCATTGGGCCCGTGCAAATCTTTGCGCAATGGATACCGCCTAGGAACCAGACAGGTCCCAAGCACGGCCTGAAAGATCGTCTCATGCATGCGATCCTTATGCTTATGCAGGCTAGTCAGCGGTCAGTGCCGGCTCGGTGTCTCCTCCCAGGTCTTCCCGTTTGTGTGATGGCTTGTTGGTTGTGCATGGTCGCTGCACTGCTTCAAAGCATGTCGGGGCAGCCGCAATGCTACTGCAGCCTTGCCAGTGCAAGCCCAGCCCTGGGCTCACATGAAATGTGGGCTTTTACCCATCCATCCAGGCATCAGGTTACATCAAGGGTTGCCTCCACTCAGCCAACCAAGTGCGGGCCAAGTATTGCGATCCACCGCAGCTGCGAATTCTGATTGACAAACGCAGACCTTTGCAAAACATCTTGGGAATAGACGAGCTGTATGCTTGGCAGTTCTGCTTGGGCCAGTCCACGCTGACCATTTGCTGAGCATGCAGGCGCCAAACATGCGGTGACAATGCCATCATGCCATCATGCATTCTGATTGTACACACCAAGAGTCTGCCTGGAACGTGCAGTTCACAATGTGGTCATCACAAGTCGTCCCCTGCCATAGCTTCAAACTCCAGAGCTACCAGAAAAAACTCCTCGAGCTCCTCGGCTGAACAAGCCTGGCATCTTGATGTCCTGGGAGGCTTTACCACCTCTCCCAGAGGATCCAAGTATCCTAAGGTTTTTGAAGGCTTAGTTGTCACTTGGTGCCTAAGGGACCCTGACATTTTCTCATTTTCTCCCCTGCACTTCGCATCAGGCGAGCGATTTGAGGTAGCACCCGCAGTGTCCATTCCCAGAAATCGTGCAGGTCTCGGTCCAGACACGTCAGCCTATGGGAGCCCTTCCGGCTTGCCGCACGGACAAAGCCGCACCCAGGTCGTTGGCAGGCAGGAGCGCAAGATCCTCCAGATGTATCACCGAAGGACACTTAGGCAGTGAGAAGCCAGTGCAGGAGCAAACTGCCCTGAAGCCTAGCTTGTGTTTACAAGTCGGACTTTCAGCTGAAGGTGAAGCAAACACCCCAGGCGTGCACGTCTTGCAGACCTTTCCATCCTTGGGAGGAGCACCGAAGGAGCTTTCCCCCGAGCTAGTGGCTTGCCCCAAACCGCTCGCCCGAAAACCAGCGCCCCATCAAGTCCTTCAAGCAGCGTGTGCAAGCCGCAGTGGACCTTCGAAGGTCTGAAGGCCCTCAGGTGATTCCAATGGATGCCTTTGCCTGAGTCAGCCTGTCCGGTCTGAGTATGGCCACATCCGCATCTGGAGACCAAAAGCCTATGCCTTCATGTCTTCCGATTCGGACCGGTGCCGAGCCGGCACAAGATGGACGAGGCCAGGGGCAAATTGCATCAACTCCACCAAGAGAAACACTCCCCCGCACTCAGTGCAAAGCAGCTTAGCATGTTTCAAGGTAAAAACTTTCAAGTAGGAACCCTTTGGTGCACCTTTGGCAGGTGCTTCATGTCCACCACCTTTGAGGTGGTTCCCTATGACAATTCCAGTTACTCAATCCCGGTGCGAATCTCACTGCCACTGGAAGGCCTTTACTTGATGGCCGTGTCGTGGTCGGCCAAAAGTTGCATGCCACATGTCTGGACAACGCAAGCCCGGGACGCCTGCCTTCGAGGTGCGCACTTCTCAGCACTGAAATTCAGAGGCCCTGAGCTTTCCATGCCCTGATTTTCCACTTCCAGGCCACAAGCTTTGGCCAGGGCTCTGCAAGAAGACAAATCAACGACAGCTTCAGTTCATTTGCATGCCACAAGAATGGGTTCCTTTCGAATCTGCGCTCAGTTCATTTGCATTCTGCTGAGTACCTTTCGTAAGAAGTAAGTGCCCCGCAGCCCGCCCTTTCGGGGCTTTGCTAATGGCGTGCAGCTTGCGGCACGGCCTGCCGCGCCAGCCAATGGCCCGGCGACGCTTCAAATGCGGGCCGGAGCCAGAGGCTTGGTGCAGGTCAGGCGGCCACCGAAAAGCGGCGACTGGCACAGGGCAGCGCAATGTCGGGTGCCTGGACGGATGGAACGAAACTGCGATTGGGGGATCTCATCTGTTCCTGATGCCCTGCCACTGCAATCGGAGGTCCTTTAGCCCCCAACCGATGACAAGTATGAAGCGAACAATATGACGAGCCTTTCCTAGCAAGCGCCGGCAGACCAAATACGCCAAGGATTTCCCCAGGCTAACTAGCTATGATTGTTGACCAACATGCCATCTAGGAAAGTGCCAGAACATGTGAGCCCTCAATCAAAACTACACGTTGCGCAAAAAGGGCATGGAATGCTACTTTCAGCAAGTTATGACTAAATTGGCTTGTCACAAAGGAAATATCCAAAGGCCCCCACCCACCCAGCCACCACAAGATCTATGGGGCAAACCAATTCATTTGCCTTTCAGCATGCAAAGGCCGCTGTAGTGCATGCTTTCTTCATCCAAGCCCCACTCCGTGTAAGTGCCCCACCAGTTGGCAGAAGCAACCTGTACTTCGTAGAGGTGGGAAGGCTCGCTACCCACCCCCCCCCCCCTCCCCGGTGGCCATGAGCAACAACGGGACCTTTCTGTTGTTACTTGATTTTAAAGGCGCCCACTTATGCCTAAAAAGGCACAAGGAACACCCTCCCAAAAACGCAAAAACGGGGGCACCACTCCGAACAAGATAAAAGGACATGGCGTTGTGTCCAGAGGGTCTTGGATTGCGTCCTGCCATTCTGACAGTCTCACATGCCCTTCACCCACCGGGCCTTGAAGCAAATGCTCAGAGCCTGGCCGTCATGATTGTTGTTTTGTGTTTTTCCGGTAATACGCATAATAGAAATGATACAATTAGAAAGCCCCTAGTTGTGTCGTGGCTGGGTGGGGGAGAAGTAGTGTATGTAATTGAGGCTAGACCAAAATCGAACCGAAATGGGAAACCAAAGGTAAAACTGTCAGCTCGGGAAGTGGGCCAGGACAATTTGAGCGAACAGGGAACCTGATTCGCCATTATTTTCAATCATTGCGCGTTCAAAGCAAACAGCTGTTTGCCTGGAGTTCTGGCTTGCTGTTGACAACCCCTCGGCACGGGAAAGGAGCCCTGGGACCTGTGTCAGATCATGGAGGTGGAATGCGCCCACAACCAAGCGAAAAAGCAGTGACCTGCCGGGATGGGGGCAGCTTCCTGACTTCTGGCTAGAACTTTCGGCTTCCCTTGCCCAGTTTCTCCTTCTTTGCTCGTGGAGGCAAGTGTGGCAACCCGGGGGCGGCAATGCTAACATGGAATCAACCGGCCCGGAGGCCGTTGACATGGAGTTGAGCAAAGCCACAGCTTTCTTCACCTGCCTTGTTGTGAGGGAGGGTGCACTTTGAGGACCTTTTCGGACTTTTTTTGTAACCTGG